GAGCAAATATTGAAATGCCACTTTAGCTTAATGAATGTGGGATTATAATTCATTAATGTGATATTAATCCCAATTTATGATCATTTTAATTTATGTGCATTTTAATATTTCTATTAGCATTTTTATTAAAAAAAGAATATTTGAATAATATATCATTCCTGGAGTTTTCCATTCACATAGGAGGCGTGCATGAGACACCAAAGATATTAGTATCACTCTTGTCCACAGCATTTTTGTTATTAAAAATGAAGCCTTTCAAAACAGTGGTATCATTATTACGTTACAACGAATTTGTGCCATATTTTTCTTACATTTGTCAATTAGTAAATTAGTATTATAATCTTAACTTAGGTTTTGATGCTTCCCTTGCGTTCAGAAATAACTGAGGAAGAAGAAGGGGAAACATAGGTGTTTGAAAGATTCAGACACAAGGCTAAGATTCAGGTCTCTCTAACCAGAAGGGCTGGAGAAACGAACACATTTATTTAAGCTTCAGTGAGTTTGGGTGTAATATGGGGATAAAACACCTATTCTACAGAATTGATTTTAGAATCTGAGATAATCTATTTGAAAAATAGGCAAAAATGGAAGTGGACATATTAAGTGTGCAATAACTAAAACCATTTTACTTCACAACATATTCAACCATATATATTAATACAAACCATCTGAAAATATTGTGATAAGCCCAGTTGCAACCTAAGTGAAAGCAAGTTCCCAAGACTTTATCCTGTAAATATAGGGGGGGGGGAACGCTTTATAAATACTGTATGCTTCCTCTTTCTTCTGAAAATTCATTTTTAGCAAACCTCAGTAAAATCCAGATCCCTGGACTAATAATGGTAATCTTGAAATGCAGATTGTTGTATTTCCATAGTCATTAGTTTCATCCTATTAGTTGTAACATACACACACACACACACACACACACACACACACACACACACAGAGGCTCTTTCGCATGGCATGTTCAAATAACCAAATTGGCATTCCAAATAGAAGACTTGTAGGTGTGCAAAGATAGCAGCAATTTACAGGCAGCAAATGCTCACAGGACTCCCGGTCTGGACGTCAGAAGGATTCAGGGTCCACAGCGGCTTTTTCTGCTGGCCTTCACAGAAGCCTGTCTGAATCTGCTCACGTCAATGCAATGACGCCGCTCCTCTCAATTGATCCCACCTCAGGACTCTCTCTGTGAGATTCTGGGGCCAAGGATACCCCAAAGGCACCCAATGTTCACACGTGTGCATCACCAGGAAGTGTGAGCACCGTCTCTGCCAGGGGCGGCTTCTAATCCAAACAGGGCCAGAGCCGCCTGCAAACTGGCCGGGGGTGGGAGGACTCGGCCTGGCTGTGATACCAAAGACCTCGTCCATTCATGCATTAACATGAGCAGAGCACGTGTACAGACAGCAAAGACATGGCCTCTGCCTTCAAAGACCCATAAGTTAGTGGGAGATACGCACAAATAAACAGAAAATTTAGAAGAAGTGTAATAATAATAATACTTATTGTTACATATATCAACTTATTCTCTGATAAACATTCTAGGTGTATAAATATAATGTGATTCTCACAGCAAACTAGAGACCATGTCTCCATTCACTGATGAAACAACTGAGATGCAAAGATTTTTTTTTTTAGGACACTTTTCTACAGAATGCGTTAGCAGCAAGTGGCAATCTTAACAGCCTGAGTTTAGAGTAAATCTCCCAGATTTAAAGGCATACTCTAAAAGCTACGGTATGGAAAGAACAGAGGGTTGCGAGAGCATAGTGGAATTTGACTTAACCCAGAAAGGGGCGTGCAGAGCGACAGAAAAAGCCTCCCCAAAGAAGTAATGATGAAACTTCAGCTCTCAGAGAGGGAGGAAATGCATTCCAGACCCAGGTAATAAAAGTGTGGGTGAAGATGCTGCAGTAAGAGACAGCATACTAAGTTAGAGAAACTCAAGATGATTTCATGTGGNGTTTGCATGTCAGAATCTAAACAAAGTACATATTTGGACATATTTTTGCTTGTCTGTGGGTTTCTTTTGTGCTGATGGTAATGGTAGAGACATAACTTTCTGCTAGAAAGCCATAGACGTTTTCCTAGAAAAAGTGTCATATCAGCCAGCCATAGAGGAGCAATGTGATTTTGAGATGAAGGAAAAAAATAAAATAAAAGGAGAATTCCTTGCACAAGAGTTAGACAAAATAGAGTCTTAGCAGGAGAAATGCATGGTAAGATGTCAAGACCTGCAGTCAATTCTGATTTGCTACTGCAATGGTTATATCTACCAAAGTTATATTGTAACTAAGAAAGAAGAAATCGCTTGTGAAGCCAGGCTATTTACCTAACTCTGGTCTTCAATTTATGTCTCCACTTGTGCTTTTGATTTCGCTCATCATGTCCACCTGCTTCTAATTTCTGTAATTTTGCAGCATAGCATGTATCCTTATAGGTTGCCTTAAAAGCAATTTAAAACAAACTTGGGTCTATATTATATCCATAAAAATGACTTTGGTGATGTTATACTCTGAATTTTGCCCACTCATCTTGTCAGATGAGGAAGAACTCTAATATTCCTCTTCATATTGTATAAAATCTGGAATCAGGGGTTTCCCGGATCAAAGCCAGGGTTTGAGGAGAAATAAGCAGATCCAAAAAAGGGAAGAAAATAAAAAATGTAGAAAATCAAGTTTTGAAATATATACTGCTCTGTAGAATGTAGTGGACATTTCAATGGCTCAGAAAAAGTGAGAGTGGTTCACTGCTAACAGCAGTACTCCTAAAAAAAGGACTTAGTTCAGGCAAGATAGCAATAGCACAGAATCCTTTGGAACTGTGTTCATCTAATCCACTCTAGACTCGACCCACCAGCTCCATTCAATATCTGGCTGACTACGGGCCTAGACGGTTCTCTTATTTCTCTATGCACACATCTGCATGTGAATATACACAAACAAATAATTAAACATCCAGCAAATATCAATAGGATTAGCCTGGCATGTTGGAACAAATCTTGATAAATCCGCCTCAGTAACAATACTCCAAGTACAAGTCTACGAAAGGAATACAAATTCAGCCTATTGAAGTACTGTCATGTAAGGAAAGATATTTTAATAAAACTGCCTCGTCAGTTCCTATTACTAAGGGACTGAAGCTATTGAGCTGTGGAAGTGAGGCCAAAAAAACGGGATTTGGAAATGCAAATTAGAGATAAGACGGTAATAAATGTCTTTTATTCAGCAACCCACTATCCCCGGTGCCAGGAGCTATTTTAAAGATGACTCTTAATAGTTCTGTGAAATTGGAAGCATACATACCCAAAATGGACATCTCTGGCACGGTAGCATGATAGGGCCCATTAAGAAATTCTGGTGCATTGTCGTTGATGTCTTGAACTTTAATAATAAATTCAGAAGGAGGCTCAAGAGGCTTGTTCGTCTCCCAGTCCACTGCCTGGGCTGTTAGGGTGTATTCAGCCTTCTCTTCTCGGTCAAGTCTTTTTATAGCGTGGATATCTCCTGTTATATCATTTATTTGAAAGATTGTCCCAGCTCCATCACCTGATAGGATATACTTGATTTTTTTGCTCCCAG